CCCGGACCGGTCTGGGGCTGGCAGACTGGGGTAACCGGCTGCTTGGCCTGCTCCCGGCCCGCCTCGGGGTGCTCGGCCTGCTCGGGGGGGGTGACTGGGTGCCAGGCTGCTTCGGGGCCCCTTGGAGGATTTTGTCCTTGGGGGATAAGGCTCTCCTCTCCCCGCAGCGAGGGCGTGTGTGTGGAGAAGGCTTCGCGATGAGCGGGCTTGTCTCTGCAGGAGCGGGAGTGGAGGGGATCCAGTGAAACGTGGGAAGTCTTTCATGTTTTTGCAGCCAAGGTTTGGCTACGGGGATCTTGGACCACCTTATGCCTCGAGGAGAGCCTCTGCACTTCGCTTTTAATGAGTTAGAAGTCGATTTGCCTTCCCAGTCTCGTCAGCCAAGCGAAAGCAGGCTCCAGGGAGAACTTCTGAGTTTTTCTCTGGTCGTGGGAAAATGAAAAGCTGTAAAATGTGGCTTTGGGGGTAGTCTGGGAACACAAAGGCTTATTTTTATGCCTTCCTCTTCCCCTCCGGTTCAAATCAGGTGATAATGTTTACTGAGCCAGAGCTGAAAGTCAGGTAGAAGACGTGGTGTGGTCCGTGCCAGGATTGGGAATGGCACCACAGTTCTCCTCGGTGAGGAGAAGCTGCAGCTTCCTTGTTGCTGTCTTGCATACAGTGACAAACCAGCTTTGGGTTTTATCTCTTGTCTTTTTTTTGCTTAAAATTTCCACCGTAGTCTTTTCCCAGAGGATTTTCTAAAGCTTTTAACCTTCTTATCTCCCTCTGGGACTGCTGAAGAGAGCTGTCCTGCTGCCAAAGTCACTGGGTGTCCGTATTTGTTTGTGGGTTCATTCCCTGATGGACCGTGGCACCTTCCCGTTTTGTTTTGCAGCAGAAATTTCAGTAGTATTATTTGGCAAAATCTTTCGTTCGATTGCATAATAGCTCCATTTTCTCCCCCTGATATTCCCTGTCATCTTTGGATTTGGAGGCTTGAAAGCTCAGTGCTGAGAGAGAGGAGAATTTAAAAAAAAAGGAAGAAGTGCCTAGACCTTTGAAGGTGGAAGCGCTGTGACAGCGTTATATTCAGCTGTACCTTCTGGCTGATAAAATATTGCTCAGATAATGAAACTGTCTGGCTGCTTTGCATCGCACCAGATAGGGACATGCAGAGGGTAAGCGATGCAAGCGCAGAACGTCAAACTTTGCGGAGCCCTTTCTCTGCGTCGTAGGGTTATGTCGTCAACAGGAGCTGTATGCTATTTATAATCTCAGCTGCTCTCATCGGTGTGTGTGCCTTGTCTTTCCTTGTAACAGCCAACTGTCTCAATCCCTTTATATTTTGATAGGTTTAGGATCTCTAATTGAGCTTGTTGAATCTGTTTCTGTTTAGCATTGCTGTAATCTCTTCTGAAATATTAGTTGCTGCGCGCAGTCCCTCAGGGAGAGAGGGGTGAGAAATCAGAGAGAGGTCAGCAAACCTGAGAATGCTGCAGGATGTGGGAGAGAGCTGTAACTTGGCCTGAAGTATTTACTTCTAAGTGATGATGATGGGAAGGGGGTTGGGATGTAGACCTGCTGCTCCCTGGGGCTGTAAATATCCAGTGGGGAGGAGAAGGTCTTTGAAGCAATGGGATTGTTTAGGGGAGGGAATGCTCTTCCTGGAGCCAGGAGCCCCGTTTTCTGTCTGGGGTGCTTAAATCTAGTTTGCGGGGAAGAGCTTCGCTGTGGATGGGAAGATGGGCAGGATGACCGCATTTTCAGTTGTTGAGGTAGAAAGTTTCATCTCAAGGCAGTTTCTCCTGGATCTAACCATTTTGCTTGGGTACACAAATGGGTTTGTTCTGGGAGACTGGGGCTCGTGCTCCCCCAGCCAGGGACGTGTGTAGTGCAGGCCTTGGGAGTCTTGCGCTTTCCGTAACTGCAGCCTCTCAATGCTAAAATCCCAGAGCCTGGCTGCCCCATAGGCGAGCTGACTCTAGACCTGCTTGTCAGCACAGCTTTGGGTATTCCCTGCATGATTTTTATTTGCTTGTACCTCTTCTGTGTCTTTACCGGTCTTTGCCTGGCGTTGGCTCACCTGCTTCCATCTCTCGGCTGCGTATAAGACGTTAACTCTGCCTGTCTATCCCATGCTATGCAGTTGGTTGCACGGCCGCTCCAGCAGTCTCCTGGCAGCATGTTGCACGCACTTGGTGTGATCGGGGGGCAAATATCTCAGCCTGACGGTTCGCTTGTTGCCTCGGTAGATGGCTCTTCCCGATCATTGGCCACATGGGTATCTGCACATCGACTGGAGTCATTCGGGACTTCGCGGGGCCGTATTTTGTCTCAGTAAGTAGATGATGGATCCAGGTGCGTAAGCAGAATCTGTGCTCGGTCTGCTTCTCCCCTTCGTTGGTGGCTTTTGAGCCATCCCCTGTCTTTTGCAGCTCGAAGTTCTGTGAAATAATGGCTTTAGATGTTTCTGAAGATCATGGATCTTTGCTGTTAGTCTGTGGGCTGCTGTCCAGTGGAGGTTGTTTGGGGGCTATGATAAATAGCGGCTAGTTTACTGAGCAGAAGGGAAAAAAATGTGTAGTCCAGGCTCTTAATTGGGAATTTTGGACCTAAATTCTCTTAAATCGGAGTAACAGAAGCTGCCTTCCAACTTCCTCAGCATGCGTGTTACTATCATGCTGCTTAGCATCAGGTATGTGCCAGTCTTCCAAACGGCTTTGTAGTCCGGTGGATTTTTAAAGTACAGGAGTTTTAATTTGGGATAATTAATACTCTTAATAGATTGGGACATTTACAACTTTGAATTAACAAGGTATAAACAGTGGGGCAGACAAAAAAACCCCAAAACCGAGGAACGAGGTACCGTGTAGCTAGATGATCTCACCCTGTATAGAGTATAGATATACTCGTGCCCGAAACAGGAGTATGAAAACAATTGAAATCTAAATCCAGACACACAAATAAGATTGGTGTCTTGAGACTGCTGAGGCAAAGTGACAGTTTTATCACTAAGCGATCACGGGCTGTGAGGCCTTCCAGCAAGAGGCATGTCATGAATATTGCGTGGGGTTATCCTCTTGAGACGTTTTTCCTTTTTTGTAGGAAGACAACATGGCATTTGGGAAGCCAGTGAAGTAAGTGCTCTTGTTAGTTTTTATTAAACTAACCAACTGACCTGCAGATGTCCTTTAATTCATGGAGACAGGCGTGCTGTAATATTGCTTTTTTTGTTGTTCAGAAGCCCTAATTCAAGTGGATGTCTACTGTGTCTCTGCTTTTCAAGAAACCACGTTAAATTAAATCTTTTTAGAAGCGTGACAGCAATGTAATGGTATTAATAACTAGAGCTGTATGGAGCCTTTATTAAAAAAAAGAAAAGGCTAAAACATTTTAAGATAATGTTAACAACAAATGCTCCAAGTAAATACTGCCTGTGCTGTACTAATGAACTGTCATCACTCACAGCCTGTTAATGATTTTCTGGGGGGAGGAGGAGAGGTGCCTGGGTTTTGTGTATCTGTCAGATCAGGTTTACGTTTTGAATGGCCTGAAGGTTTCACATCACGGGATGTGAAAGCAGTTCAGAGTTATGTCTGTGCCCCTGAGGTCTGCAGTTTCTCTCTGGGGTGCTGTTGGGCTGAGGGTGCTGAGCGGTAGTTTCTGCCACCCTCTGCAGCATGTGCTTGTTGTGAAGACCTCAGCTCCGTGGACTCCAGAGGTAGTGGATTTCTCCAAGTCCTTTAAGCAGCTTCCAGCTGGGATGAGCAAGAGGTTGTAAAGGTGCCGCAGTAATGCAAAAGGTTCTGTTCTCATCCTTCTAGGTACTGGAAACTGGATCCCAGCAAAGTATACTCCACCAGTCCCAACGCTTGGGACACGGCCGTACACGATGCCTCAGAGGAGTACAAGCACCGAATGGTACGTCTCCGCCGCTGATGTCTTGTCTGTGTGTGGAGGAATATCTCCCCAGTTTGGGTCCTTGCTGGGTCTGCACCAGCACAGGGTGCAGAACTGGGAAGCATCAAGGACAAGATTTCTAATCCCGTGCCCCTTTTTCTGTTCCAGCACAACCTTTGCTGTGATAACTGCCATTCTCATGTGGCTCTGGCCTTAAACTTGATGAGATACGATAACAGCACCTCCTGGAACATGGTGAAGCTCTGCTTCTTCTCACTCCTGTATGGGAAGTATGTAAGGTGAGCTGAGGAGCGGTCTAGATTCAGCAGGCAAAGGGGCTCTGTTTCTTTCGTTCTTCCTCGCCCTCCAAAGCTTCAGACTGCCCCGTGGAGAAAGGAGAAACATCTCTCCTCCACAACATGTTAGGTATATGTTGCTGGTAGGTGGTACTGTCACTGCACGCTGTCTCTTGGGAAAAGAACCAAGGGTGCTTTCTGGATTACACTGGATGCTGCACCCGAAATACAGTATCTGGCAGCTAATTTAGGGTGCCTGGAATTTGGGAAGAGCTAGCTAAAGCAGATCTCACTCTGTGTTGTCTTTTGGCTGGGTTAGGTCAGAACATAAGGTCACAGAATGGCTTGTCTCCAAGGATTACTGGTTTCTCTTCCCTCTCTCGAATCTTGTTTACGTAAAAGCTGGTCAGATTTCTGACTGGTGTGGAGCTTCCAACTTGAGTGGAGAGGGAAATCCCAAGTTTTCCTTACTAGAAGGGGCACTTAATCTCCATTTCAGCTTCTTGTGCCTGAAAGGGAGATTCTGCAACGACTGCCTTGCACAAAGCTTTTGAGTTGTTCCACTTCTGTTGGGTCTTTCCTGTTCTGGAGGAGCTTCTCTACCAGCTTTTAGACAGTTCCTGCTGTCTTGGTTAAATACACAAACAGTCTGAATAACAAGACCTGCAGCAATGGGGTTTCATTTTTTTGTGGTCTCCTGTCACCACTCCTGTCTCTGCAGATATGAAACATGCTAGTCTTCGACCTGAATTTAAACTGGAAGGAGAGTCCAGCCCTATTCATGATATAGTTATTTGTGGACCTGGTTTAGTCTCAGTTTTTAACACAGGCTGAATCTCCAGGATGTGATGTGTGGCAGTGCCAGCAATGGATAGGAAAGTTAGAAGGGCATCTGTCTCCTGATTTCTCCAGTTATTCTCACATCCTTCTCTCCCTCTTGTTTTTCTCTGCTGATTTCTTAGGTTTAAACCCTCCCCCTTTTTTCCATCTTGCAGCATAGGGGGATTTGTGAAGACCTGGCTTCCCTTTGTCCTCTTCTTGGGGGTGATCGTGACCGTTGTTCTGACGCTTCATTTGCGGTGATGGCAGCTCTGAACTCCCCGTTCTGTGGGCGCACGAAGGAAGAAACTGTGACTGATCCATCGAGATGGAGGCACGGGACTCTGGGAGGCGTTTTCTGGGGAAGGTGGCAACTCCACTCCATTGTAACAGCTCAGCTTTGTTTCCTGGAACTGGCTTCTTTTCCTTCTGTTTTTGTTCTGTCGATGGTGTCTCCCAGTGTCGGGGGTCCTGAAGCCTCCTGCTCTCTCCCCGAGTATGCTCCCTTTCTGCAATTTGGTAGGTAGAAACGCCATGAGGAAAGGAGAGGCGTGGGCACCTTTGCTTTCATTGCGAAGTAAAGCTGCGAGGCAAACCCTGCCTCCTGCTTCAGGAGTGCAAGCAGATACACTTTGTAAGGTTCTCTCTGATCACCTGGTTTCTTCCTCTTGGCAGACTTCATCAGATGCTTCCTCAGATTTCCTGAGTCTCCAGGAAGGAGTTGTGGTTTCCCCGTTGCACGACTCTCCTGCAGCGCCTGTTTCAAAGTGGAGGTGTGGGGTTCCTCCTGGGGACGGAGAGTGCCACGGCACTCGCTGACTGTCTCCCCAGTAGTGACAGAGAGGTGTTGACGGTGGGACGCTCCTCTGAGGAGACACGCAGAGGAACGCTCTGTGGCAGGGCAAATTCATCTGGTCCTGCTGGTGAGCCCAGAAAGGCAGGAAAGTCGATGGACTGGCTTGGGTATGGCTCATGGCAGTCTGCACACTTTCAGTAGCCTGTTGCAGAGTTGGGAGTCTACTGCTAAGTCCCTTTAAGCTTGTGCCAGAAAAAATACAGCTTCCCTGCTTCTCCCTGTGCTCTGAGTATCTAAAATTGTCGTTACGCTTCTCATGAGCCACTTACTTTCTTTTGACCCCTAGTACTTTGTGTGTCGCAGCGTACCTGAGCCTGCAGAGGTGGCACCAGCAGCAGGTACACGTTTCTGGGGCAGAAGGCTTAGCGTAGAGTTTTGAGAACATCCGTGAGTGCAGCACCTGAGACCTGAGCTTAGTGGAGCCATCGGAGATTAAAAGAAAAGGTGAAGGGACTGGAAAGCATCCATGTTCTGGTTGGGCTTTGCAGCAGCAAACCGAGGCACTGGCTTTCTTGCAGCTGGTTCCCGGATGGTGAACAAGAAGATCTGTTTACTTCCTTGGCATGCTTTGAAGAGCACAACCTGGGGTAAAAGTGCTTTGCAGGACTGGCTTTGATGTGAGAAATGCTGTTCTGGCAGCGTTGAGGGGGGCTGATGGCCCTTTTGAGCCCCGGATCGGGCAGGGTAGGTAGTATGGGGATAGGCTGTTCTTGAGTGCTGGGCAGGAAGTGATTTTGGACATGACCCAGACATCTTCCAGGGCGAGAGGTCCGGGTCTGTGTTTGCTGAGGCTCTGGCCTGCAGATGCTGCTTTCTGGGGGTCTCTGAGCCAGGTGGCTTTTTTTTTTTTTTTTTTTAAAAAAAAAAAAAATCTGTGGCTGAAGGGTTCTGTGCAGCTGAGCAGATCCCCGCTGACTGCAGAGGAAGGAGGACAGCTTTTCCACTCATGCCTTGAAAGGCCAGCTCTTCACTACCTGATGGATTTCAACCTCCAGGAGTTCTCGTGGCCAGCAAGAAAGCTCTTCTCCACTGCCTGCTGTCCCTACGCCTTCCTCTGACTGGGAAGCCCGCTCGCTGTCACTGCTGGCCCTCGGACCTGTCCCTCTGTGCCTCCTCGTCCGCTTCCATCTCCCAACTCCTCTAGCCACATGGGAGGCTTGCGGACTCCTCTTGGGCCTCTTCATTTCCTCCTTTTCCTCAGTCGCTTTTAAATAGCTCCTAAACCCTCTTCCTTCTCCCTAGCACCCAGTTGTCTATCATCTGGTGCTGGCCTTGCTGGGGTGGGTGGAGGCGTGCAGACCTCGGCGCCCTTCCCCGTTTACCTGGAACTGAAATAGTCGTCGCTGTCTGCTCCGTACCGTCATTTCAAGCCTGCTCGGAGAGCGGGCTGGAGGGTGCTGGGCCTGGGGCTGATTAGAAAGCCAAGATCTTGATCAAAGAGAACCTTACGATGAAAGGATGGTGTCTTACCGAGCTACCCTGTGTTGCTGCGGTCTCCACCCAGCGAGCCCACTGGCTAACGTGCCCTAGGACAAGCCAGTTAAACAGGAGAGATTAGTCCTTTGCCTCTGTTTTTAATATAAGTATGATTTCTCAGAGTGACCTGCCAAGGATGTGATTAGAGTCCCTGGCCCAGGGCTGAAGCCAACCTGTCTTACGCAGTAGCAATAATCTAGAGACTCTTAGGCCTGTCTCACAACGTTGATTCAGTGTTTTATCGATAAGCTATAAAAGCGTTGCCAAAGCTGAGACTTTGAGTTGTCAGGAGGGGCCGGGAGTGGGGGCTGCTGGCCACAGTTCCCACTCCTGGGACTTCTGAAAACGTGCTGAGTGCCATTCCCCACCGTGAAAATCCTTGTCGTTTGCTCCTAACGCTTTTTCCCAGATCTGGGTTTCAAACGGAGACTTGCCGTGAGCAGCGAAGGGGCCTCATAGTGGGTTGGAGTGTTGGCGGCTGGGGGAGGAAGGTGCCTCTTTGCCCAGGTCCTGGCTGAACGACCGACCCTGCAGTGATGGAGGATGATTCTGGGCATCCGAAGGAAACCCGGCTGACGGGGGAGCCAGCCCCAAAGCTGAGGTACCGCGGAGCCAGCCCGCGCATCCTCGCTGGACACGCAGAGCTGTCTGTACTCGCACAATGAAGGATGGTGCCCGCAGAGGTGGGATGCTGGGAGAGGCTTGTGGGCTGGTGGGATTTATGGTCTTCCTATGCTGTGGTAGTGTCAGCCCAGCACTGCGGGAGTGCGGAGAAACCCCGGCGGTGCTCGGCACAGGTTCCCAGCAGCGCCGCAGCCAGCGGCGACCGTTCCGCGGGGAGTGGGCTGCTTCCTCTCGGCGTGGGAGGTGGCAGAAGGGAGGGAGTGGGTGAGGAATGTCCTCTCCTTGCAGCTTCCTTCATCTCACTGCCGGCTTCTTCGCGGTGCCCCCTTCAACGAGCCACATTAAAGGTTCGCCCTCTCCTCCGCCTTCCAGATGCCAGTTTTATGCTCCGCTCCTTTCCCCTTTGCACGTGCTTGTGCTGCAGAGCTCCATGGCTTTGCCGTTGCTCTCCGGCGAGGACGAGCCCCTCCGTACCCTCATCCTTTGTTCTCTTGATCTCTGTGGGGCGCTGGATTACTTTGTAAATATTTAAACTCTGCTTCTGTGGTTTCATAATCCTGACGGTAGGGGAAATAAACTTATTTCTGTGGATGTCTCCAAGTGCCACATCTCTTATTATCGAGACTCTTTCCTCCTTCCAACCGGGAGCGGGGTTGGGATTCCCGCCTGCCCCACTGAGCCCCGGCCCCTCTCCTGCCCCAAGGCAGCGTGGCTGGCTGCCCCTGGGAGCTGGACCATGAAGCTCTAAGGCTTTTGACTTCATGAACTTGCCTTTTGCTCTGCTCCAGGGCAAAACTCACAGCTCTGTTTTCAGACCTGCTGTTGGGAAGGTGGGGTTTAGGGGAAGGGGGGGCAGGAGGGACCCAATTGCCACAGCGTGGGGTTTGCAGGCTTTAATGCCAGGTCTCTCCGAAGCCGGCGACCTGCCGAGGGTCTTTGTTATGTTTGGGAGGAGAAAGGGCTCTGTCTGCTCTGGCTCTTTGCTGCTCCCTACGCCTCTGCCCCCTCAGTGGAGCCCTGCGTGGCCCTGGGCAGGGGGGAGCTGAGCGCTCTGGGGAGGAGGATGCTTTTTTGAGGAGCTAAGCCCCCTCTTGCAGACAGATCCCGTTGAGCTGTTCCCTTTCCGTAGTCTTAAGTCTCTGGCATCTCTATTTTTCTTGGAGGCCGAGATCCTTTTCCCTTGCCATCTTCCATTTCCCTGCAAGCTGTTGGGGAAGGGACGTTGCGTGCTGGGGCCAGGGCTGCCGGGAGCTACGGAGGAGCGGAGAGCAGAGTGGGATGCAAAGAGGCGGCCTTGTTTTCCCCTCTCCCAGCAGGATACCGCTGCCTGAACTGGGAGCCAGGGAAGCTGGGCCTCCAAGTGCTGTAAGGATTGCTAATGCAGCAGCCGATTTTCCGTTAACATCTGATATCCAGAGGCCAAAGCTGCGCGGTGGGGGAAGTAGATCAGCCTTAAAATTAGGTTGTGTGCAAGGCTCGGGGATTTAACGGCGCAGCCATCTTACAAAACACCACCTGGATCCTCTCCTGCTCAGCCCCTCCATCCAAACCACACTGCTCCTGCGGCTGCGTTAACTCCAGACCCTGTTTTGGCTCCAGGGCTGCGAAACCGCAGCGGAGGCGGGGGGCGGGGGGGG